TCCTAATTTTAGGCACTTGCCTTTTAGAGAGTCACATTCCCCACCCCAAATCCTTTAAAAAAATATTATTTTCTCAGCATCCTCACTTGCCTCGGCTTCCCTTGCAGGATGTCAAGGCGTGCAGCAGGGCTCCGCATGTGCCCACCCGCCCACAGAGTGGCCTCCAGCACAGCCCAGCCCCTGGTCCTGGCAGCCTGGTGTGCTGTCCCTGGCTTTCTTTTTATGCATCCACATCACACAACTGCCTGTAACAGCCCTGTGGCCAACATGGAACCACCTCACAGTCTCACCAAAATTTGGGCTTGTCAGCCCCAGATTCTTGACAGTCTAGGCAAGTGAACGCTTTTGCTGCAAAAACTCTTCAATCCTTGCTGTCTCATTCTAAGCCCAAAGGAGGGCCCAAATTAGACCCAAAGCATTTGTCTCTCTGTCGATTTATTAGCCGGTGATGGACACACAGCTGGACCCATACAAAACACACACGTAACTGACACACTGCTTGAGAAACCGCCCCCACCCCTCCAGCCCCTCACTCAGAGGCATTCTCTTCCAGGATTGTCCCTTTGGAGATGTCTCTGTGGGTCTGGCCCCTGTAGGCCCCCTCTCCTGCAGCCCTGCAGGATGTGGAAACACTGACCAGAGGGCAACAGAGGCTTAGGACCAATTCATCCATGGGTCTCCCCTCCTGCAAAGAGAGGTCCCAGGGCCAACAATGCAATTTTCTCCAGAAGGTGGGATCACCAGGGTCAACTTTGCACATTAAGAAAGATACTTTTCACCCTTGTGCCCAGTCTTCCCAATATCCAACAAGCCTCCGGATACTTTCATTTCCAAGAAACTCCAGGAGGATTGTAGACAAAGCCGGATTTCTGAATGTCAGATGATAGGGAGTTTGTAAGGCTAACAGACAGCTATCATTCCTTCAACAGGCATCTAGAAGCACCTACGATGTGAAAGCTCATGTTGGGCAGGATTCAACATCTGGTCAGGAGCTTAGCAGTGGAAATGGTGGTCTTGCCTTGATGTAAAAGAACCCCCAGCTCCTTTCCTATGGGTGAGGCTGTAGTGGATTGAATTATGTCCCCGCAAAACTCACTGAAGCTTGAATTGTGTCCCCCAAGTTTTATGTATTAGAAACAGCCCCCACTGTGACTGTTTGGTAATTGAAGATCCTATTATGGTAATTGAAAGGTGGAGCCTTGAAGAGGTGATTGGATTGTAGGACCATGCAGTAGTGAATGGATTGAAAATGGTGGTCAGGGGCATGGTTCTGAGGGCTTTAAAAGAAGAGGGAGTCTGTCTTTCTCTCTCTGCTTCCACCATGTTGCAATGTGAGACCTCTGGGTCACTGTCACCACCACCAGTTGGACTTTGGACTTCCCAGCCTCAGAAACTGTAAGCAATAGATTTCATTTTCTTTATAAATTACCCAGTTACAAGTATTTTGTTATACGTAACAAAAACAGACTAATACAGAGGTTTTAGGTGGAATCTCTCCTTTCCTGTGTAGAGTGGTCTGATTTCAGGATTGTTCCCTGCAGAGCGGGAGGTAATCAGACCAAAGCAGAATCATGGGTCCTTCCTCCATTAGGATGCACAGACCCAGACGGCTGATGAGATGCATGGATGTTTCTAGACACCAAAGTGCATTTTTCTCCAAATGGAGAAATAGGGGGTGGAAGGGGATGTTTCAGGGAGTCCCTATGGGTCATGTTGATCCACATGAGAGGTCACAAGAAATGAGCTCCTTCTTCTCGGGGGGCCAAGAGGATTCAAGTCTGAGAACCAAATGGGTAGGTAGGTGAGGCATGGACGCTTGTAGGGAAAAGGCTTTTGAGAGAAACGGGTCACCGTTGGTGATCCGTCTGGAACCTTGGGATCTCTTGATGCTTTTTTTTTTTCATGGGCCTATCTCAGTCTCCATCACCCTGGCTGATGCCCGACCCCAGGGGGGAGGACAGTGGGTGGGAGCGGTTCAGGGCACCATGTTCCACCACTTGAAGGGGAAGGGCTGCCGGCGCACATTGGTGCCGCAGTGCACCTCCCCGTGCAGCATGTGGTAGGGGGTGAAATCGTCAATGAAGCTGCAGTGGAGGCCCAGTGGCTCCAGCAGGGACCGCACCTTCTCCTCCAGGCAGCAGCGGCCGTTGATGATGGGCCCGAAGGGCTTGGGGATGCCCAGGTACTTCCCCAGCACCAGCATGTTCACCTGCAGAGCGAGGGGAGGCAGCACGTCATCACGGGGCCCCACCCAGCACCTGCACTTTTCCTGGCAGGCCCTGGCTTTGTCTTCCAGGTGGCCTCGAAAACAGCTACTCGCCCTTTCCTGTGCAGTGGGAGGGGAACGTGGGCTGGTAGGAGCCATTCAGCCAGATGCCTTTGGGAGCATCTATGACGTGTTTCTGGCAGCAGCTCTCTTTATTGGTGGATTGTAGCGGCTGCCGTGTTTGTGCTATAGAAGCCCGACCTCCTAGGCCATAGCTGATTGGACCAGTGTGGACAGCTGACCCAAGAGGGACCATTCAGATTCCCTCTCCAGGGAATTTGAAGTTGACACTGGGAGAGTCCACTCAGTCTCTGCCTGTGTCAGTATCCATAATGTATGGTCATGTTCACATTTGTCCCCAAGGACAGAGCAGCAAAAGAAGTCAAGCTGGAGGGAGAGGGAGAGAGAGAGAGAATGAATGATGCAGACCCAGAGACAAGAGATGGTTCCGGCCCTCCCGAGGCCCCGCTGCAGCTGTCCCTGCCCTCGGATTTCACAGTGCCCTTATATCAAATGTCCCTGTGGCTGAAGCTGGCTTGGGCGGGCCTCTGTTTTTTGCAAACACAAGAACCCAAACCATTGCACAAGCTTCTGGGGGCACATGCATAATTACGAGGCTGCCTCAAACATGCAGAAGAGGTGGAGAATGATAAGAGGCTTTGCAAGTGGGGGGCAAAAAGTCAGCCAGAGAAGGGAAGGGAAATGAGGCAATGGTGGTGTGCACAGGCTCCCCACAAGGCTCTGATGATGGGCAAGTTGAGTTCCACTGTGGTAGGAAGGTGGGGGGGGTGGCGGGGAGCCGGGTGACCTCCAGCAGTGCTGCTCAGACTGTGGTCCCGGGGCAGGCAGCACTGGTGCCACATGGGAGCTTGTTAGAGGGGCAGCAGTGTCCTGGGTCCCCACCTCAGACCTGCTGGATCAGGACCCCTGGGTGGGGCCCCACCTGTCCAGGTGTTTCAGATGCAAGCGCAAGTTTTAGAATCACCGGAGGCAAAGCCCTCAAGGCTCAGGCAAAGGCCACCTCTTCCACGAAGACTTCTTGGATCTCCAGTCCTGCTTCTTAGGCTCGAAGTGCTTTGTCCCACCTCCGAACTGTCACATCACTTTACCATACAAAATAGACCACTGGGATGTGTCCTCAGAGAGGTGAAGATTTTCCCCCTCAACAGATTAGATTGGAAGCTCCTTGAGAGCAGGGACCATTCTTAATAATCTCAGTATCTCCCACAGGGCACCTAAGTATATGTGGGATGGATGGACAGCCACGAGCTGAGAGGAAGGGGGAAAATGGGCACTTGAATTCCCAGCCAATGCCATGTGCTTTGCACACCTGACCTCATGCAATCATTCATTCACTCCACCAATGTCAAGTGGGTCCCTCTCCTGGTGGCCCTTGAGCCAGGGGTTGGCCAGTGAGCACTCCAAGGGGACCGTGGTGGTCAGGCAATTAGAAGCCTTTCTGTTGGGCACCATGAGACCCTAACGCTCCCCATCACCCCTACCAGCCACCACAATCCCAAACATGACTGCAATCAAAAGTCCTGCCCCTCTGGGAACTGGAGGCTTGCAGTCTAATTTGATGACACCTTAAGTCATGGGTGGTGGTCTTACCAAGTCAGGGAAGAAGGCCACCGCCTTTTTCTTCTCAGTCTTGAACAGCTGTGGGATGTCGATGATGTCACGGTCAGTCAGGCCCAGCTCCCGCTTCAGCACCTCCCGGTTCCAGTCGATGCAGCTCTGGGGGTGAGGGGGAGAGACAGTGGGGGGGACCTTGCCACCATGTGTTGGGGGGACCCAAGGGGTCAAGTCTGGTTGGGGAAAGGCAGAATGCCCAAGTGCCCATAGATCAACTGTCCACACAAAGCTTACCTTTGTGCCCCTTTGTCAAAGTACACCTGTCCTGTGTCCCACCCCCCATAGTCCTATTCCATTAGATGGGCTTAAAATGAGAGTGTTCCAGAGTGTTCCATCCTTGATCCTCTTCTTTAGATCCCTTACTCCTTAGGGAATCTCATTCACTCTCATGGTTCAAAGCACTATCTATACACTGACAACCCTCAAATTTATATCTCCCGCCTCCTTATAAAGCCCAATCCCTTTCCTGAGCTCGGACTTGTCAGTATAAACAACCACCTACTTTGCTTCTTTTCTTGGGTGTCTAATAGGCACATCAAACATGATGTATCCAAAGATAAACTTGATTTCTACCCCCCCAAACCTGCTCCTTGCCCACTGTTAAGCTTCATACGTGTAACCACTGTTTACCCAGCTGTTGGAGTCACAAGGCCTGCCGTCCTCCTCCGTGTCTCCTCTCCTGTCACTCCATATCCAACCATCAGCAAGTCCTGTGGGCGCTACCTTTAAAATCAGTCCCGGTCTTCCCCCTTCCCACTGCCTGCACTGCTCCCACCTGGTCTGCAGGCCACCCCTGCAGCCTGGTTGGCTGCAGTGCCTCCTTCTGCGGTTGCTCCACGTGGCGGCCATGAGAGCGCTCCTGGAAGACCTCTAGCTTCAGAGCCTTTAAGTGGCCAAGGGCTCTTGCCTCCCCTTCCTGGGTCTGCAACCGAGGCCATACCTCCGGCGGCTGCTCCCAGCCCCTGGCTGAGGGCTACAAGCACAGCCAGGAAGACCCACCTCTGAACGTGGCCGGCCTTGCCTTACAAGGTCCCCCACAGCTTTGTGAACCCTCCTTAGACCTCCTGGCAGCACAGCGTGCACCCAGCCAACCTTCCTTCCCTCTCTCTGTCACTCGGGGTCAGACTCAGCCTGACACCTTTCCCCATCTTCTCTGTGTCCTCCCTATTTCCTCACAAAGACATTTTCCCTAATAAAATCCTGGCATGTTTACCGCATCTTGGCATGTGCTTCTTGGAGGATTTGGACTCACACAATCCCTGTGCTGGGAATTCTCTGTTTGCCCTTCTGGACTCACTATATACCCTTTTCCTCTGCTCTGTGCCCTGGGAGGCTCTCGTGCCCTCTGGCGCCTGGCTGGGTTCAGCCAGTGGGGGACACTGGTAGGAGACTGGGGGCAGGGCAGGAGGAGAGGGCAGTTGGGGTACTTGTTTCCCCAGCTCCCTCCCTGCCAGGTCACTGTGCATTGACTGTGAAGGTCACACCTCCTGTCTCGCAGGCTCTTTTCATAGTGGCATCTCCAGGTTCCATGAACAGCTCCCTTCCCTCATTCCTTCAAGTCCGGGGGAGGTGACAGCTCCCCCACTCTTCCCAGCCTGGGGATACTGCATGGACCCTTGTTGATTTCCTCAAACCATGCTTGTGCCTTTGGAAATATTCCCTTTATTAAGCTTTTCCATAGTTATCCAGTTTGAGATTCCATGTGTTTTCCTGCTGGGACCTACTGTCACCCCCACCCCATGATATATTAATATATTCTCAACACAGCAGTAGAGAGATCCTTTTAAAGCATAAGTCAGATTAGGTCCCTCCTCCGCTGAAATCCCCTAGTGGCCTTGAGTCTCACTCAGAGTCACAGCCACAGTTCTTGCAATGCCCTACGAGGCCTCACATGATGTGATCTGGCCTCTTCTTACTCCACATCAGCCTCCTGGCTTGTCCTCGAATACACCAGGCCCATTTGTCCTACCTCAGGGCCATCAACTGTCCTGTTCCTTCTGCCTGTAATGCTTGTCCCCCTCCCTTCTCCCAGGTCAAAGGAGGGGTTGGTGCCCCTCTGTCTGGGTCTGTTCCAACCTGAGCTTTCATGAACTGTGAGCTTCAGATTTCTGTCTCCCATCTCTGTCACCAGTCCCTCCTACCCTCCACTCACAGCCATGGCCCTTGTACCTGCACAAACTTATTAAAGCTGATGAGGTTTTCATTGGAGAGGACCTGGTTGATGGAGATGGTCTCGACCTGCTGATTGCCTGTAAAGGAGAGAGAGAGACATAGAGGCGGGGCAGGAGCAACAGCAACGTGAGGGCCTCTTGCTCTGGGAAGCAGACAAACAGAGGCCAAGTCCACAGCTGCTGGTCTTGCCGAGTCAGCGGCTCTCCGACTTCCCTGGGCTTCCCGTAGGCACCACCTGTCAGAGCTCGTCTTGGCCACTGCGCAAGCCCGGGGGTGTGAGGAGTGGGAAGGTCTGGTTGCCACAGTGCAATGAACTTTAGATCTTTATTTGAGTTCACTGGAAGTGGTAACGCCTTTAACTGGAAATTTACAACCACCCGAGGGCACAAGGTGGTGACTCCTCTTCTGCTGGCTAGTGGGGGAGCCAGGTCAGTTGTCCGCACACCCACCTGCCAGGGCCAGGCTTTATAGGTTCGCTGAGCAGCGAACTGGCTGGATGCCATGAGGCCCTGCCCCTGCCCTCTGGGAGGTGACTATGCAGCAAAAGGGTTCCCAGAGATCCAGCCTTCTAGCCTGCCTCATGGGGTGCCCATGGAAATAGGAAAGGGAGGCTAGAGTCAACACTCACAATCTTCCCAGCTGTCATTTGTTAAGCACTTACCATGAGTGGGCCCTGAGTGAAGGGCTCTACATCCAGCATCTCGCTTAACCCTCACTGCAACCCCACAAGGTATGCATTATTGTCCCCACTTTACAGATCAGGAAACTGAGGCTTGGAGAGGTTGAATAATTTGCCCAAGGACGTACAGCTAGGACGTGAGGGGTTGCGATTCAAACCCATGCCCAGTGCTCATGAAGGGCCTCAAGCCTTGACCAAGGGAAAGGCAAGGGCTCCCCAGAGCCACCTGCACATCTGGAGGTTCAATGTCCCCTGCAGCCCAGTTG